AAAATCACCTAGCACTCGATTTATCAATAGTTTGAATGCAAGTAACTACAATAGAAAAATAACATTTTAATAAAAATGTTTAATTATAAAACTGCCATTATTTGCATACAAGATACTTATGATCTTTAATGAAATCTTACCAGTTTTTGAGAGAATATATTAAGAAATCTCAGAGTTACTGCACGTATTGTTGTACAAGCGAAATTCACGACTCAATTTTCACAAATTGCAGGAGCCCACCACAAAAGGGTTAATTCTTTATATAACAAATGATCTGAAAAATTTTGGGACCGAAGACAAACTCTGTAGTCAGGAGATTGTACCAATATGGATTGCAATCAAAGTTTCAAGTATAGAAAGTTTTTAATTGGCAGCTGTTATAGGCCCCCCCTGCTCACTGAAATTATATCAATGAGAAATTGTATAATGACTTATAAGATCAGGGTTGTTACTAAAAATGATAGTGATGCAATAATCATAGGAAAATTATTATAAATACACTGATTGGGATTATATGTAATATAATCCAGTTGTGTGTGAGGTTTCTAGATGTGATTTAAGAGGTTGCCTACACAAAATAGTAAGAAGAACAACCAGATGGGATGTCATTTTAAATTTACTGTTAACCACTAATGAGGATGTTGTTACAAAAAGTTAAAATTAGGGGCACATTTGGCAAAGAGTTATCATTGCTAATTAGGTTTTATGTTTTGCTACATGTCCTAATTTTCAAAAAGTCAATTTTTGAGGCCATGAGACAAGCTTTATCATAAGTGAACTGGAATAATGAGTTAATAGGTTTGTGGGACAGATTTGAGAAATTTTAAAATATAAGTTACTTTTAATTCTTGATTGGCATGTTCCTAAAAAAAAAAAGCGTGGGGGGTAAAATGGAAGATAAAATTTAACTGATTCACCAGGGAGAAAATCAAAGATAGATACCAAAGTTCAAATAAACAGATGTGATAGAAGATTCACAGAACTAAAGAAAATATAAAAGCTTCGGTTAAACTAGATATTAGGTAATCATAAAGGCCTCAAACAAAACAGCTGGCCAATAAAATTAAAACTAACAACAAGGATTTTCTTTAAGTATGTTTAAGTAAAATATTAATGGATATGCCTTGAAATTATGCTGATGGCAAGAAAGTTATTGAACTGGGATGATGATGACTAAGTTTTTACATTTTCTCTTCTGTTTCTACAAGAGAAGGTATTAGCTGTTTATGAGCAGTCTTTGGGAAATACTACAATTGGCCTGAATCGTGTATAAATTAATCCCTTCATTTTAAACAGAAAGATATAACAATAAATAAAGTACCAGAACCAGACGAAGTTTTCTTCAGGGATTTAGAAGGATGTCAGAGATCAGACTTGCAAACCTCTCTTGGTTGTGGTAAGTCAACAGACAGTGTGAAGACTGGAGATTTGCTAAAGTTACTCTTACTTTTAAAAGGAACAATAAGATATGCCCTAGTGGGAAAAAATTGAAAGATTCTAATAAAAGAAACTTCACAAAACTAGAAAGTGAAATATGGATAATCATTAAAAAAAAGCCAACATGGTTTCACTAGAGAGAAACCTTGCCACACTAATCCATTAAATGTTTTCAAAGATATTACTTGTTACCTAAATGGTAGAAATTATGTTAAATTGGTGCACTTAGATTTTTCAAAACATTTTTAACAAGGTACCACACAGAAAATTAGCTAAAAAAATATCATTAGTGCACTTAGTAGGGCTTAGGGAAAACAAGCTTGTATGATGATTGGATGAGAGACAGCAAAAGGTTGTTATTAATGAAGCCCAGTCAAACTGGACCCTTGTTAATAGTGGAGTGCTTCAGGGGTCAATGCTTATATTTTTTATTTTTCTTATTTTCAGTAATGATATTAATAAAGGCACAATTAGGAAATCAATAAAGTTTGTGGATAATATTAAACTCTTGGGTATTTCTAGGTGTACTGACAATGTTGAGATACTATGGAACAACTTGGATCAACTGGTCAAGTATCTGGAAAATTGCCTTTAATTATAGCACATGCAAAGCATTGCATTTGGGTTACCATAATTTGGATCACAGCAAAATAAAAAAAAAAGGATTTTGGCATAGTGGCAGATATATTACTCGAGTCACTGAGGCAGTGCTCCATTGTTAATAGAATGTTAGGATATATTTACAGATATATCAATTATAAATCAAAAAGTGGCTTCACTTGTCTGGTCTTCTTATCTAATAATATATAATGACTAAATGGAAAGAGTTCATAGGAGAGCTTTATGGATTCTTCCATGAATGCAAGCAGTGTTCTCTCTAAGCAGCGTGGCCACATAATAACAAATCAAGTGCTGTGCACTTAATTATTCCAGCCACACACATTCTCAGTAATTTAATGACACTGGCAGTTAATAGGCCTAAAGCCCAAATAACCAACCGGTAGCATTGCAAAGCAGCTTACTGATCCAACAGGGTCAATGGTCTAAAAATACCACCACCCACCCCTAAAAAAAAAACTGGTAGCGAACATTTGCACATCAAAAAATTCATTCCACAAATGGATTTAAAACATTAGAGGGAACATTAGATACAAGAGGTATCTCCTAACAATGGGTTAGTATAGCAGTTCCAAAACTGTGGCTGCAAAGTTGTCTCACAAAGAATATAAATGAAAGCATAAATTTAAAAAGTTTAATATGACTGGTTTGATGGAAGATGCAAGATTATAAAAAATCACGAGTTTATGAGACAGGATATCGACAATCGAAAAAAGGTATGTGAAAAAAAATTGGTTGTAAATGTAAAAAATTAGCAGTAAGGATATCTTTAAATACATTGAGAAACAAAATATGAGAATGGGAGTAAGGCCTGTGAGAAATAATAAAGAAAGGCTCATTTATGATTATTATGAAATGGCTACATTACTAAATTCCACTTTTTCTTCAGTTTTCACTAATGAATATTTAGGAAATATTACTTTTCCTTTACAGCTGCTAGATAGAAACAGGACTGTGTTGGATAGTCATTAGGGGAAATCTTTCATTACCAATCTTTTGACATTCTTTGAAAAGGTTGCTACTTATGTAGCAGATGGTAAAGGTGTAGGTTTGCTATATAAAGTATATATAGCTGGATATTCAAAGAAAATATGACAAGGTGCCACATAAAAGGCTTGTTAAAAAAAATTATCTATATAGGTGTGAGGGATGAGTTGGCTCATTGTACTAAAAAATGGATGCAGTTAATAGAAAGAAGTTTAAGGGTAAGATTGATAAATATCTGAATGATAAGAACTGACTTTGAATGTTTTATTTTTTCTAGAGTATAGTACAGCAGATGGGATAGCCTAGATGGATTAAAAGGTCCCCTTTTGTCCTTAAACTATGTGTATGTATGTATGTATATAAATTGGTCAAGTTTGCCGATGATATGGAATTTTAGATGTAGTTGGCTCACACAATTATGAAACTACTTCTATTGTTTTATAAAAGGATTTGGATCATTTGTTAAATAGATAGCAGATGGCATTTAATTATGCTAAGTACAAGCTAATACATGTGAGCTACCTTAATTTAAACTATAATTACCACTTTTAATGCAAATCAATTCAATTGTGTGTTATGGAAGATCTTAGTGTTTTTTGTTGATCAGTCTCTTAAGCTTTCCAGTGGGAAGCAAACAGGATTTTGGGTTGTATCTGCAAGTCAGAGGAGGTTATTTATTTGTACAGATGTCTGATGAGGCCTCATTTAAAGAACTGTGTTCAGTCTTGGGTTCCTTACTTTAATTAAGAAGTCCATTAAGTTGTTGAAAATGGTTCAATGGTGAGCTACTAGAATGGAGAGGTTGTCATATGAGAACAAGTTAAGGTCCTTAAAATTATTTTACCTTGTGAAAAGAAGAGTTGTAGGAAATCTGTTTGAAGTATTAAAATTATTAAGCAAATTGTTGATGCATCATCTTTTTTCATACTTAATGATAAGAGTGGTAGTACTAGGGAAAATAGATTTAACATCGGACATGGTAGAAGTTGTCTGCAAATTGGGCAACTTTTATTTCCTAAAAAGGTGTTCAGCTTTTGAAATAGACTGCATTCAATGTGATACATGCAACAAAATTGGAAGATTTCAAAAAAGGGATTGATGAGTACTTGAGAAGCATGGCTGGCAATAGGCAGATTGTTGTTTGAAGAAATGAATGGGACAGCCAAGGTGTCAAATGTTGTCCCTCAAATGTGTTAATATATAGATAGAAACCACTAAAATATATCAATCATGCTATTACTATTAAGAAACCTGCTCTGACCAAGGATTGTACCTAAAATCACCAGAGCACACTCCTGTTATAATGAAAGCACTTTTATACCAACTGGTATTACGTCCCAAGCAAATAATTTCCAAGTCTGCATCATAGACTACTAGTCCTACTGTGAATCATACTGATTCATAGTCTTTATCTGAAAATTATACACAGACTATAGTCGAGTCAGTACAAATTTTAGTTTTGATACTCAAAATATTTTTTACAATCAAGTTTTGTTAACAAGGATTAATGAGTAATTTCAAAAATTGTTAATTTTAACTTGTTCAGTTTGTGAAACCACTTGTAGGTTGTAAAAACCTCAAAATTAAACTGCACTATATAGATCGACTATTTGTATTTATCATATAAAAATTAAAGCCTAATGTCAAATGTTTTAATACACTATTAAGTAAAAAGATCAAACGAAATTCATTTTGAGTGTAGACAATTCCTTCAAATGACAATTTATGTATACATTGCTTTGTTATTGAAAAGACTCTTCGACTTATTCTTACTATAACAATAAACTTTACAGTTTACCGTTACTTTATAATAAAGCTAACTTTGAATCTGATCGAAAGTTAATATCAAATTAATACGAATAATAGCAATTTTGCAACGCTAGGCCTACAGTACTAACACAAACTAACAAAGTACAATTTGTACTAAAAATGCATTACCAATAACCACGAAAGCTTACCATGATTCTTCATCTGATAAATCTAACTCATCTAAAATTATAAAATCTCCCTCTTTGAAAGAACCTTCACGCCGTTTTGGTTTATCCGCTTTTTCAGTGTTTTTATTAGAAGAATGCTGGATTTTATTTGTCCGTGAATCATTGGCTCGTCCCTCATTTTTACCAGGGCTTATTCGGTCACGAGTCGGCGGTGTACGTTGACGACAACGTAATTGTTGATTCTGCAATTCTAATTTCTTCACTAAATCTTGTAATTTTTTCACTTCTTCGTGAGGATCGACACCCATTTGTGCCTCCTTCGTTATAACACTCATTCTCATTTAATTGTGATTCAATTTAAACAGTTCGATAGAACTCGCTTACTACCACCATCTTTCAACAGATTTCGACTGATAGATTTAGCCTAACCCCTTCGAGGCTTTCGGGATTATCGGGTGTGTCTTTTTTGCCAGTCCGCGTTAACATCGTGTGACGTCATCATTAGAACTTGCCTGGACGATACGGAACATTAGTCCCAAATATTAAACGAAAATTTAAAATTTAGACTCTTGTGGATATATAAACAAAGCATGTACCTTAAATTTATCAATAATGAATATTTATCACTAGCTATTCATACCAACTCAGTGAGAGTGAAAAAATACTGAATTTCATACACAAAATACAAATTTTTCAGAAAGAACAAGGGTATTTGATATTTTTTAGTTCAACTGAAAATAAAACAAAGCATTTTATGCTACCACGTCGAACAACGTTCTCATTTTACGTTCAAATATTTTATTTCGTCGTTTATCAAACTGCCCTTGCTATTATATGTGCATGAGTGATCCAAAATTTTAACACATAAACTCAACTAGAATGATTTAAGTTTCCTATCAAAGTTACGTACTTCCTAAAAATCAGTAACTCCTCCAAATTTTAGTCTCCAATAATCTCCAACTACTAAGAACAGTTCGTTTAAGCTCATTGACTTGAATCAGTTTCAGCTGTTTCGGTTAAAACGATACTATGAACTAATTGCGTTTTAGCAAATCCTTAATAAAAAAAGAGATACTTTGAATGTTTTGATCCTATGATATGTAACATTTTCTGATGATCGGATTTTTTGTTTAGCGGAATTTAATACACTTTTTATAGTTCTATAAATTCATCAAGTTATGTTTAATGTTTATAAATACTTAAAATTCAAAACTCTTGTTATTTAAGATATCTGTCTCGTTTCCAATTCCAAAAATTAATCATTTGAAGGTATTTTTTACATTAGTGTCTCTAAAATTCTTCTGTTTTTAATTGATCTTCCTTTTGACAACAAGTATGTTTGGCTAGTTATGCACATTATAAAATATCAATCTCAAGTTGGAATGGAAATGAGAGAATTGAGTATTATCACAGCTGTCTCTGTATATGGCTCTGAGTGTGTCGCCATCTCGCGGCATAAGCTATTTTCAATTCTTGCAGGATAAAAGTACAGTTAAATTTAAATATGTGTTTTCACAGTCTTATGTTATGCTGTGTGAATCGGATATTATTATTATTTTAGCATAAAAATACGAAAATGTGTCATGATTTTTTTAATTCTTTGCAAATACGTAAGATAAGTAAATAGATTTCGAGCACATAGTATAGAATTCGTCATCCCAGTTTAAAAAGAAATTTACAAACTTTCTTCCGCATGAGAATCGTCGTTAAACATAAGTACATTTTATTATTAAAAATAAAATAATGTTTGAATACCCCACACAAAACACTGTTTAATAATATATCCATTAAATGAAACATCCTGATGCTAAATGTTTTTGTCATGATTAATTTATTTCATAAATTAACATACGTAATAACATATGCTAGTATTTATAGTAATAATGCAAATTATTGATCTTCAACATTATTTTAAGCGCGAATAACAAAATATTAGGACTTTTCCTAAAACATGCATAAAATACTTATAACTTGATAGAAATATAATGGGATTTATTATCACACTTTGTGCATATGAATACTTTTATTATATATTACCTTTTGATATACTTTTAACAATATTTAAACTTAACATATATCTAAATAAGTGTCGTGTCAATCACACTAATCTACAGCATGTTTCCAATTAAACATTTTTTTAAAAAGTTTGTTTGTTTGTTAGATTCCACCCAAACTACATGATCACTGTCTGCGCCAGCTGTCCCTAATTTTGAAGTGATAGGCTAGAGGGAAGGCTGCTTGTCAACATCACTCACCGTCAACTCTTGGTCTACTCCTTTCAGACCGAATAGTGGGATTTGATTGTCATTCTTATAACGGATCCACGGTCTCAACCTGTAGAGCGTTTGTATGTGTGAATAACGGGTCACAAACGATGGACATACAAATTCATAGACTGTCAAGCTAATCACTGAGTCACGCTCGGCCCTACTATCAGATTAGGTTTATAGAATTTTAGATATAATTTTAGTTATAAGATATTTTTCATTAACATATTGCTTCAATTCGTCTTTTATTGTTTTCATAATATTAATACTTGTTAGGTATTATTTCTAATTATATTGTCGGGAACTATATTTTAATTTAAATATTTTATGTTGTCTACTGGAGGGAGTTTTGATTACAATGCAAACAAAGCGCAAAGTAACCTTTATGAAAATGAAAAACAGTCAAACACTGACGAGTGCACTTGGCAAATAGACAGCATTTCTGCGAGTTCGTGTTGAGCGATTTTTTCACAAGGAAATTTGGAAGAAAACCTCTCGATGTGGATTCCTTTACGTGGTGATGTGTCATCTTGATGGATGAGTTATATCAGGGGTATACTGTAACACATCACTTTGGCCTTGAATTCCTGTAGACGGGTAGTCTTGAAGTGGCTCCCCCAGGGTTAATCAACTGGTCCTGTTGGGCTAGGATCAACTAAGTGCCAGTGTCGGAAGTTCTCAATGGGTTTTGTGGACATTGTGTCTGATGCTGGTGTTTGGGTATAATGCTCACGAAACCCTAATGTAATTGCACTGTTCTTGTTTAGCATTGTAGTGGGTCCCCTTGTAGTGCTCCATGGTGGGTGGGGTCAGTGGGCACTGAATCCAATCCATTTCCTATGGATCTCTCACCTACCCATTTAGGGTAAGAACGAAAATATGAAGGGTGGGTACTACCACTATTAATGCACTTTGGGTCCAATTGACACTCGTAGGTGTTGTGGACGTTGCCACAACAATTAGCACACGTCAAGGAACCACGACAAAATGTCTTAGAGTCTCCGAACTGCTGACATTGAAAACATCTGAGAGGATTAGAAATGTAGGGCTGCACATTTATAGTTTAGATAACCTGCCTTGATAGAGGCAGGTGGGTGTTGTGATGTAAACATTAATACAATAACATTGGTAGGCAGCATAATTTCGTCTTTACAAATGGAGATACGTCACACAGCTGAAACTCCTTGGCTTGAGAAACCAGCAAGGATCTCTGACTCGAGAATGTTAGTTAAATCCCTCTCAACAATACTCCACGGGAGGAATTCAAAGTAGCATGGGGAGTAACCTCAAAAGGTATATCCTCCAATGAACTTTGATTTCAGTAGTAGGTCATTATGTTGTGTGGTAGCTTTTTCAACCAAAATGACTGACTTTGGAGAGCCAACAAGCCTTTCTAATCCTTTCCGGATGAAAAAGGGAGACAATTGCCCTAAAGGTCAGACAAAGAATGAAGAATTAAAAAACGAGGTACATGAACCGATTGGTGTGGTAACTGCAGATCAGAGTCTTCCAAACGTGGTCGCTTTCCAATCAGAATTTTTTTATTGTCAGCCTAGGAAAAAGAGGTACAGCGCTTGTAGACTGTCAACAACATTTCATACTCCGAGTCTCGGAATTGTTGTCCCCTGTTTCATTTTAAACATATGCTGCTGAACTTTGCTACACTGCTACAGTGGGAGTGCAGACAGATTTTTCGCTCCTCCAAAAGAATATTTTTCTTACCATGTAAAAAGTCTTTTGCCCTCCATAAATTCAAGCGTTGACAAATCTACATCCACTCCTGTCGCATCTAGTGACTGTTTGGATCCATCTTCATCAGCCCTGAGGTGCAGGACCATCATTCGGACACACTTTCAGTCATTAGATCCTTCTTCTTCTGACAGAGAGCTGCCCAATCATCCCAAATCAAGTTCCATGAAGGTCAACAGCCCTCTTTCTACTAAAGAAAAATTTCGTGGTCGCAAACAAAAGGGTTCTCCTCCACCTAAATAAAAATGGTCACTTTGATACTATGGAACTGACGAGGTTTTCGTTCTAATTTGGATGATATTAAAGCCTTGATCGATTCCTTTCATCCCATGCGTCTTTCCTTACAGGAAACAATTCTCAGACCTGCCGATGCGGTCACCTTTCGGCAGTTTTCTTTATACCGGAATGACAAGTTTGTGATAGATGAGTTCATGGAGTTGTTGCAATACTGGTAGACCAGCATATATCCACCATGTCTGTACCACTCCACATGCCCTTGGAGGCTGTTCGTATCTCTGTGGGTCTTATCATCACTGTATGTTCACTTTAACTGTCACCACGAGAAACGTACAATCGTTCAGACCTTGATGATCTTATAGACCAGCTGCCGTCTCCCTTCTTCATCTTGGGATATTTCAATGGACACAATCCCCCTTTCGGGTGGTGCTGAAATTTATGAGTGGGGTCGTTCTGTGAAGCTTATGCTCTCAGATCACAACCTTTCTTTAATACTGGTTCATTTACCTACTTGCATGCACCTAGTCAGTCTTTTACTGCTTTTGATCTATCTATTTGTTCATCTATACTTTTTTTCGAAGGGTTGACAGTGACCACGTATTTTCTCAAGAGAGAAAGACATTTTGAAGCTAAAAACAATTGGATTGAAAATAAAATATGAGAAGCTGATGGCACTAAAATAAAATAAAATTAAAACGATAATAAAATTGAACAAATAGTAAGGGACGTAATATCTTTTAATATTGGAGATCTATTCTTACACACACATAAATATTGTT